GCTTCAGAATCAGGAGTGTTTAACTCGGACACCACTGTCCCTGCCTCAGATCACATCATCCTATTGTAAACCGTCGTCTTCTGTAAAATTGGAATATATCATACATCAAAGCATTATTGCTGAGAACCAATCAAAATGTAAAAGAACAGCACTGTGTCTAGTAAATAATAGCTTAACAGATGATAGTTTCCCTTCATTCTTTGTTCATGCCTCATAGTCTATGAACCCAACACAATGATAGTCATTTGAAAAGGCAATTTTAAGGTAACAAAAAAAAAAAACTACTGTGAATTAGTCACTGGATTATAAAAATCACTAAAGCACAAAGTGTTAGATAAATATTTCAGATTTCCAACATAATAAAAACCTTTTGCCTGGGTATAATTTATCTATCACACTACCAATAAAAATAAAAATTTAGAATTAAAAAAAGGCTTACTGGATGTATTTGATTTAGCTAGGCACATGTCATCAGAGGCACTGTATCCTGTTTATCCTGTCTGTATTTCCTGTTGCCATGTATATAATCTTTAAGAACAAGGATCACTTAAGCACTTGACCTTAAGTAGCTGCTTATCTGCCTGGGAAAACAGCACCATCAAAAATGATCTCAAGCACTTACCTGTACCCCATGCTGCATAAAAACTGCATTTTTTGGACATGGGAAAAATTCAATAACAAAAATAATAAATAAAAGGGAAAGTTGAATAGCAAAAAATAATAAAAGTTTATTTTTTATGAACAGGATTGAAAAAATACTAAAAGAAAAAATCATGGACTGGAGGCCACGCCATTTGACGCGATGGAACAGGTACTGCACCTCCACCCTGCGCCACTTCTTGCCTCTGCTGGAGAGAAGTCAGGGAGAAGACATAGAGGATGACCACAGGGCAGAACTGCTGAGGCAGTTGGGAGACTACAGGGTAAGCACAAGTGTGGGAAAATGGCCAGTGTTTTCCTCATCCCCAACCTGGAAGTTATCCAGTAATCAATTGGGAAATCACACTACCTACATAAGACCCATGAAGCACGTATGTGAGGTACTATACACCAAAAAGAAACATGATGAAATGTTTTAAAACTCAGTAGTTATCAATAAGACCCTATGAAAAACAAACTTTCTACCTCAAACTCAAGAGATCCACTTGACTCTGCCTCCCAAGTGTGATTAAAGGTGTGCGCCACCACCCCCTGACTATTTTTGATTAAGTTTTAAAGGTATGGTTTTATGATGACTGATTTTTCAATAAAAAAAATTCCACTAACAAAATACATATTCTGTCTACTACCTGTTGGTGGTTTGTCCTATATCTCATACCCTACAGCTGGGTAATAAAGTAATTTGATAATTAGTGCAGTGAGATAAACAATAAGAAAGCCAAAATGGATGTAAAGTGAGGAAAATGAAAACCTGAGGAAAATGAGGAAATAAAATATTCTAATAAAATGAACTTATTAGAATTTCAGTTCATCTTAGCTTTAGCAGTGGAAAACTGTCCCAGTTCTCTGCAAGTCTTGCCACCTTGACTTCCTCAGGCAGGCTTTACTTATAGAAATAAATGCAGAACAAGTCCAGGAGATAGGTCTGCACACGCTGCCCAAAGCAAGTGAGGACACGTGTGGCACCATCCACAGCAAGTTTCCATCCAGGCAGACACTGTGCCACACGCCCAGACCTGTAAACTAATGTTTGTGTCTGGGTTGGAGCGCACTGATTAGCTTTCCCTGGGTCTGTGGAATTACATGGGTCATGTGCACACTAAGGGCTATCAAGAGATGGGAACAGTGAATGACTGGTGACACATTAATATGCCAGTAATTAAAACAAAAATATTAAACCTTCAATTTTTATGTTAACATATAGTGAACAGAGAAATAGAAATAATCTCAGGATCTTAAAGACTCAATATTAAGAGTTATGTAATTTACATAAGGACATATAACTTTTCCTTCAAACGTTACTGAGTACAAATGTTTTTTTTCTCCTCAGTTCTCCGGATTTCCCCTTCACATGCCTTATTCTGAAGTGAAGCCTTTGATTGAAGCGGTATATAGCACAGGAGTACATAACATTGATGTCCCTAATGTTGAATTTGCTTTAGCTGTATATATCCACCCTTATCCTAAAAATGTTTTGTCTGTTTGGATCTATGTTGCTTCCCTTGTACGTAACAGGTAGCTTTTCTATGTGTGTGTTTTTTATATTACCTAAAGACAGTAAGTATATACATTTTAAATTATAATGGAATCAAAAGAAAATATTTTGAAGTAATGAAGTAAAATTATCTATTTTCAAACAAGTTGGTGTAGCCCCCCTTTTTGTTTGGTGTGACACTTTTTTTGTTTGTTTGAGACAGGAAACAGGGTTTCTGTGTAAACCTAGCTGTCCTGGAACTCGCTCAGTAGACCAGACTGGCCTAAAACTCAGAGGTTTTCCTGCCTCTGCCTCTCAAATACTGGGGTTAAAGGCAAGGGCCACCACCCCGTACAACTGTTTTATTAGTCTGGCTCATCCTGACACTTTGACCCCAAACACAGCTGAGACTGTCTATGAGGATCAGCCTCCAGACTTCCACATTTGCTTTGTCTTTAGTGCCCTTCACGTCTGTCTGTCCTTCAGAAAGACAACCTTAACTCCAAAACCCAGCAAGTTAAATCTTTACAACTTGTCTAGAGGACTAAGTGACAACTCTGCAGCATCAAATTTTATAAATGTTGGTCAGCTCGTAAAATTAACGGTATGTTACAAAAAACAAGGCAAACACAGCTACTAAAAAAAATTTTATGGCTATAAATTGAAAATCCATATCCTACCTCATACCCTTGTCCCTGGTAACTCATATTGAAACCATCATCCCCAATATTTAAAGACAAAAGTTCTAGAGAGGTAATTAGGTCAAAAAGATTAAGCCTCTACGGTGGCTTTACTGGGTTTGAATACAATCCTAAACTCAGACTCAGGTGCATATACCATGGAACACAACACACAGAGAGACAAGCAGGAGGACTAAATATATAGATATGTGTACTGACATGGAAAGATGTATGCCAGACAGAAATACCTAAAGCAGAACTTCTCAAATTACTCTTTGTGGAAAGCTGTCCTATGTGTTGTTTGACAGCAGGGATTGGAGAGACTGCCCAGCAGTTGTTGCTCCAGGTTTGATTTCTATTATCTATATGGCAGTTCATAATCATTCTTAACTCCAGTGCCCTTTTCTGACTTCTACTGACACTATATGCACACAGGGCACATATACATTTCATACATGTAGGCAAAACACACATAAAATAAACCTAATTAAAAACTTTTAAGACATGTAACAGCCTACCTGGCCTCCACCCACTAGATGCTTTAGCTGAGCTCTCCTCAACCATGTTTTGACAACCAAGACTATTTCCTAATGCGCAATGAACTCTGTGAAAGAATGACCTCCAATTCAGAACACCAATGGAGCTTTCATTTTCAAAGAGAAGAGACTAAGTATCAACTGTAACCTTTGCTTTAGCTGACACATGCCACTAAATTACATTGCAATTCCGTTTGTCTCTACTCTGCTACTTTCATGAACTCTTTAGGGAACAGTTGCCCAGACTGGCCCATAACAGTTACAGAATAATAACAAAGAGACATAGTAACACCATAGTTAAGAAGATCAACTTTGTAGAAACCCTAGTTGTGACACTTACTAGCTGGGTTATCATGGGCAAGTTATTTACTTTTTCCATAATTACAGAGAAAGATCATATTGCCTGTTCCATTGCACTGTGAGGCTTATAAAAGCTAGTGTATCTAAAGCACAACACTGGCCTTATATTTAACACCTAAAGTTTATCAGGTACCTGATGCAATTTATACAACGGGTACATTTTATCCTCAGAAGGAAATCAATCATAAAATCCAAGATATACTGAAACCAAGTATACAGTCTCATGTTAAACTATCTTCTTCTATTAAGAATGAAAAAAATGTGTACATGTTAAAAAAATTCCATTCCTTACAATTTCTGAAAACTAGCTGTTCAAAGTTAATTTAGTAACAATAGTATCTAAAACAGGTTCTTAAACACCCATTTCCTCTCATAAGGTCACAGAAAAAAAAATCTCCCTATAAGCTATACTGTTTTCTGATTATCTGAGGTTATAATAAACCTAAGTCCTCTTGTGATGACTCAAGTCATTGTTGTGTGTGATTTCAAGTTGATACCGAGAAAATTAAGCACACATTTGCATGAGACTCATTCCTGGGACATTTTCAGGTTTTTTTTTTCCTCAAAATGGTACCTGTTACCAACTTCACAAATAAGCTTAATTAATCACTTTGAGAAGTAAAAGGACAGTAAGTATATCTTACAAAATAGTCAAACTTTAGATTTGACTCTATACTCAAAGAAAATGCAATACATTTCCCCCTCCTTTACATATTACAGGAAGAAGCTAATTGGAGTGTCCACAAGACTCAATTTCCTCAAAATATTAAGGTTACCTGCTTGCTCAGCCCTATACCAAATCTGTAGGGTTCTAGTTAGTTCTCAAATGATAATGAATCAAAATAAAAAACTCTTGACAGCTGGGTGACTCTTCAAAGAGAATGCCAGCAGATACATCAGTGTTTAATTCAAATGTCAGTTGAACTGCAGAATGTTCCAGGATTCCCCCAACTATGTTTCAATTAGGTAACTCCTGCTTCATTTGTAGACACCCTCACAGTCTCACAGGGAGGAAATGCTTACAGCCAGAGAAGCTAACTGCAGGATTAATTCCTTCTACAGCTTGGTTTGCACTTACAAGGAGAAGGAAGAAAAAGAGGCAGCGCACCATCTTCTTTTTCATGGCATACAATTATAATTAATTTCAAAAAGAAATTTAACTCAGCAGTATTTAGTATCTAAAACTGTTAATGTGTCAGAGTCACAATTTTATGAAAGCTCAATGAACTAAATATTTAGTAAACCTGAATTCAGACTAAAAATAAAATCACAACACAAGATATTGCTTGATAAAGTTCTCAAAGTAGTTTTTATTTATACATTTCTTCAAACACTTACGGAATTTTAAAAATCCCTCCCACATTCGACAGTTTAGGGACAGTAGTGGAATCAGGTGTCAAAAGCAAACACAAATAGACAGGTGCTTTTGCTAGCTCACTGAGCCACACTGAGAGGCCAATTTATTCTACAATCTTAAAGAATCTCATCTCTAGATGTGTTTGAATTGGCCCCTAAGAATTGTTAAAATAAAGAAAATGTTAGGAAAAAAGAGATTTGTTTCCAAAATGTCCAGTCTTTGAAAATAAAACTTCAGAAAGAGTATCTGAAAGGATCTGCAAAACTTGGTACAGTGTTTACACATAGAGAACCAATAACCCCCACTGACTAAATGCAAAATAATCTAAAAATACTTTAAATACCATGGCATTAGTGATACTCTTTTTAAAGCATTTCATTTAAAAGAAACCAGTAAGACTGTTCTCACCCTAATAAAAAATCCTGATCCCTTTCTAAAACAAAAATATACTTTGCAAGGAAAAACAACACTGTACAATTCACTGCTAAATTAAATTTCTGAGACTGTAAGAAATGAGGCCAAAACAATCCAAAAAGGGGGATGTTAACACAAGAAATGTGCTATAAGTAAAGTGCATGAAAGGAAGCCTGCTCAGCTAAATGAAGTACACAAAGGTCAGAAGTCAGGGGTCATTCGCCAGAGCGGCAGCAGGCTCGAAAACCACACTGCAAATTCTGGCATCCACTGGCGGTATCAGCATGAGGACCTGTATGAAAGTAAAAAACATGTGAAAGGAGGAACTTCTTAGAGACCATGCAAAACAGTTCTGCCTATTAATCTATAACTGTTCTACTAGCAGTTCATTAACATCACACAAGTGAAAACTTACAGTGAAAGCATTAAAACTTCAGACACAAACTGCCAGTAATCGTCGGACTTCATCTAAAATATCCTCCATGAAAGATGGAACATAGTAAAATTTTCCAAGAATATTACAACCCAAGATGAAAAAAAGACAATCCACAGAAACAAGATTGCCGGATAGTTTAAAAACAAACTCTTTGAACGTCCTTCCTAGAAACAAAACTAACACAAAGCATAACCCTATCTGAACTGTGTCAACTCAATAAATGGAACACTGAACAACTAGAATAAATGTCATATTCAAAGTTAAGAACAATATACTATATAGATCATATTCAATGTAGTGTGCCATACTCTTAGCATTTGGAGATATCTGAAAAAACAAATGGAAGCTTTACATGAAATTACTTCCCAAAACTGAATACAAAATGAATGACTAATTAAACATCTAGAATATAAAATAGTGATGCACTTACAAACAATAATAAACCGCTTGTGGAATAACTGGAATTTTACCCCAGCTGCACTATGCAACCCAGACACTAGGAAAAAAAAATCTAGATCTATTCAGGAACATAGTTAAAAATTAGAAAAGTACAAAGAAATTTCACAAAAGTTAAGAGTGCACTGAATAGGATGGTTTTAATAAAGAAAAACGAATGTAGAAGGGTTGTTTCTAGCATTTCAAAGACTCAATGTAGCTGGTACACTGAAGCAGTTCTCTATGCTTCCACTGGGAAAACCAAAATGAAGACATGAAATAGAACTTCAAAACAGAATGAACTTAACATCACACTACCCCTCAGTGATCTCCAGCTTAACACGAAATACAGTATCCATTTGCATCATTCTACTTTTCAAGAGCAGCAGTATACTGCAAAAGGTGACTATGCTAAACCCCTAGAAGACAGAAATCATGAAAGCTGCAACTAAACACATAGAATACATGTATCGCCAGACGTTAAACATTTCCTTTTATTCTCAAGATAGCACATATGAAAGAAAGTGAAGAATTTCTTAGAATAAAGTCTCTGAGATATAATGTTCATATATTTCACTATGTAAATGGCAAATTATCTTTAAGAAAAACTTTGACTTTTAAAAATTTTTAAGTAAAACTTGACTTTTACATTTATATATAGAATTGCAATCAATTATAATTTCACTTATGTTTACATATTTAAGATTGACATGTTTGGAATTAGCTTCAAATACGGAAAACTGACATGGTATACAATATGGAAATGGGAAATAGGGTATCAAAAAAGACTGGCCTCAGATTTCAGACTTTTAAAAATATACATGTTTGTAGGTTTAAAAAGTACCCTACAAAACAAGCAGTACAGACTCACTTTTACTTACTACAAGCCAAACTCTTCTATTTTTAATTAAGTTGTATGCCAAATATTTAAAATTTATTTCTAAAAAATCCTATAAAGCAGCAAATTCTTTATTTTTCCTTAAAATAAGACACAAAGCTAAAAGATTTAGTACATATTTGGAATTGTTAGAAATGCCCTGGCAAAGAAACCTAAGTTTTGAAATTCCTCCCATTGTCAATCTTTGGCCAAGTTTTCCATGTAGCAAGTTTCCAGTTCTCCTGGCACAGTCAGTCCTCAACCATCCACTGCCCAGCGTGGCTTCACCCTTACACAGTACTGCTTTGCCACCAAACATCTCATCTTTTCACTCACTCCCTGACACTTAATCTATTTATGCTCAGACTGCTGAATCTTAACAAAATATAACTATTATTTATCAGTGCATAATTCTATTCTCAGCAACTATGGAAAAAACATGAAAATTTTTAACGTTCCAAACAGACCATACATGTCCATAGTCATACCACACACACACAAGCATACGTACACACATTTTTATGTTTGTTTCTTTGTTTAAGACCCAAAGATTTATGTCTTCCAGGCTGGCTGCAAACTTCTAAGTTGACGTACTATTTGTGCCTCAGCTTCCCAAGTAGCTGGACTAAACAGCTCCCTATACCCTGTCTACATTCATGACCTTTTATTTTTAGTGACAGAAAGGTAAAGAAGAAACACTATACTGAATTCCATATAAAATTTAGTATTTAAAAAAAAGGCTTGGGGGGGGGGGACAGTTAAAGCTAGAAGAAGTATTCAACTTTAAACAATTTAATATTAAACAAGTATTAACTTGTTTTTAAGGGAAAATAGTAAAAGGGGCCTCTACAGTATAAGTGGTCAAAGATGCTATTCTCCATTAGACTAACAGAGAACACTTTCCTTTAAATATCTGACTTAGCCAAATGGTTAATGTATCAGGCTAAATTATAGTAAGAATTAAGTTAAATTAAAAGGTAAAAATCTCCTACTAGTTAAAGCAAAGAATACTACATTTTTATATTGTGATGAAAAGAACTACAAAGGAGGTAGCTAATTCTGTTTATAAAAATGCCATGTTTTCTTGGTTTTAAGTACTATATATTACTCATGCTGTGCATATGTCTTCACTTACCTTCACTTACCTTTGATTCCTTTTTAACTTAAATTAGAAACATAAGAGAGCAAATCATCTGAGACTGTCACCTCCAGAACTATGAGCTAATCTATCTTAACTGCTAAATTATGCACAAACTGAAATGCAAGCAGCACAAGAAAGTTTACTCACTAACATCGTTCAACTGTTCTTCAGAGCTTGAAACTAGGCCATACAACTACTTTAATGATAAAGATTTGTGTAAATATTATGGATAAGACACCTTGCATATCCAAGTCAAATAACAATATAAAAATCACGGAGAATCATTCAGAAGAAGCAGAGTGTGTGTTTAACATCAGAGCTTAATACAGTATCTTGCTCAAAGTAGAAATGGAACAGCTGATGGCTAACACCTTCCCCAATGTTTGCCAGTGCTTAGAATACAAGTCAATCTGCCTTTTCATTCACTATTTACCTTTTCATTCACTATTTAATCTGAGTGACATTTATTAGCATTAAATTCTTTTAGCTAATAATGTGGTAATTATGTAGATTTTTAAATAAAATACATTTCAAATTAAATGTTACTTTTAAATATGTATGTTTCCTCATTACTCTGAACCATGTACTAAATCATAACCATTATTTTCAGAAATAAAAGTGAGGATTCCTAAACCTTCATCAAGTATTTCCTGTACAAGCTGAGCTTTGAACACACCATGACAATGGTGTCACCTTTTACAACTGGGTACAATTTTAGCAGCTTTAAAGTTGTCCAGATGTCCTTTGACAGAAAAGACTGACTCAAGTACTGCTTTAAGAGCAACTATCTAGAATCCTAAAAAGCACATTATATGAGAAGTCACCCTGTAAACTTTAAAGGATTTCCATTTCTTCAAAATCATGCTCTATCAACTTAAGAAAGGAAATTTGATATTATTTCAAGTACTGTAAATATCTCTCAAAACCTAAAAAACATCAGATCTCTCAATTAAAATATTCTACTGAAAATTAGAAATAAAAAAATACAGTCAACAAAGGAGTAAATAGCTCCTTTGGAATGCCAATATTAAATATTCAAAATAGATTAAGATAAAAATAATACTGAGAAAGGACAAGAGATTTTAACCACTTAACTTTTTCATCTAAATATTTTCAAAGTTTAAATACACTTAAGTATAAAATAAGTAGGCAGATAATAAAATTGAACTAAAACTCAATACTTTCCACCAAAATACCTATATTCACTAAGCAAAACAAATTAGGTTATGAGATTTGTTTCCAAAGACAACCTATACTGAAATTATATAGGCAATTTAAATGTAACATACAAATAAAATATCTTATTTTAAAAGTACTTGCTAATTAGTCTTAAAATGTATCTTATAAGCCTTAGGAAGTTTTGTTTTTAAAAGCTGTACTTATTCTTTCAGATTACATGTTTATATATAGGTATATGTGCACATGAGTGTGTGCACTAGCCACAGAAGACAAATGGGGTGTTGAATCCCCTGGAGATGGAGCTAGAGGCAGTTGTGAGCTGCCCAATGTGTCTGTTAGAAACCAAACTCTGGTCCTCTGTAAGAACAATAAGTCATCCACTTAACCACTAAGTCATCTGTACAGTCCACTATGGCTTTATTTTTAATAACAAACAAAAGCTTCCATTCATGAATGTCCTTTTGTTTTGTTTGTTCAAACTATTCATTTTTTCCCACTCCTTGGCTATCCGCTGCCAGCAAGAGAAAGTAAAGATAGGGACTACCAAGTTGCTTTTGTTTACCTAGCTCCTGTCAGCTGTTCTCCCTGAGATAAACTCTGATCTTCCCTTTCATTTTAGAATAACTGGACTCTCAAAAATAACAGTGTGTAGTATAAGATAGGTATAACAGAATGGAGTTGTTTAAGTTTGTTTCTAGTTATAAATACAAGATGATTTGTTTATTAATTGAGGAGCAGCTTTATTACGCTTCTGAAAAATTGTTAATACTAAACATTTGAAACTGCGTAATCTAACCAATAGACTTTAAAAAAGGAAAAAAAGTGGGAGGAAGAATGTGTGTGTTGACTTTTTTTCTTTCTTTCTTTTTTTTTTGTTTTTTTGTTTGTTTGTTTGTTTGTTTGTTTGTTTCTCGAGACTGGGTTTCTTTATAGCTTTGGAGTCTGTCCTGGAACTAGCTCTTGTAGACCACGCTGGCCCCAATCTCAGTAATTTGCCTGCCTCTACTTTCCTAGTGCTGGGATTTAAGGCATGCATCACCACAGGGCTGTGTGGGATTTTTAAGATGGGGTTTCACAAGATCCAAGCTGGACTTGAAGCAAGGGATGTCCTCGAATTACTGACACTATCTCCTGAGTGCTGGGATTAATTATAAGCATGAGCCACCACTCTTGGTTTTATGTGGTGCTGGGGCTCAAACCCAGAGATTCACGCATGCTAAGCAAGCAGTCTTTCAAAAAGCTACAACCCCAAATCATACTTCATGATTTTTAAATCAGTGCAGGAATCAGTAATCAACTTCTAAAACAATATAGGAATTTTGGTCATGCCTAAGCCATCTCAGTCTTTTCTCAGACTACTACTTCCTCAGTAGTACAATCTACTTCCTCAGTCTTGAGGGAGATTAATATGAAATAAGACACAGGGCTCCTGAGAAGTTCACATTACCAAAGTCTTCCTTTGTCTATCTGCCACACTGGCTAAAGCAGTGCTATGAGAAAAATGAGTCTATCATTCCTAAGAAATCAGTGTGTCTAGAAAATCAATACTCTTAAGTTGTTAATGGTAAGTGCTAGAATACTACAATGGAATTCCCAAAATCTCAGATAATCTTAGTGATTCTATAACAACTTATCTACTTTTAAATGATTTAAACTCTTACATGCTTAAAATTCTTTTAGAATGGTAAGAAACTTATATTCAAGAAGTAAGTAAAAATGTGTGTTATTTTGATTTTACTACCTTAGAGAACCAAATCATTTTAATTTTATTAAATTTAAAAGAATAACCCTAAGACAATCTGTACAATTGAGAATCTAGAAAGCAAATAGAAACTATAAAAATTATCAGAACTGCCAAAAATTTTAAATGCATTCTTCCAAGTATCTCACTGTTAAAAGGCATTACCGTTAATGTTGTCACAGTAGTAAAAGTATTCATCATTTAGGGAAGGACATGCTGAGACCAAATCCTGCAGCCCTGCACCAGTTACAGTAAGACAGCCAGAGAGATTAAGGTGCTCCAAGTAAGGCAGTCCTCCTCCCAGAGTCAAAACCCTGCAAGAGAAATAATGTAACAGTCAGGAAATACTAACCTTTGAAACTTTTAATATTTTGAAGGCCCACTAGATCAATATTTTACATACCTCTCAATTTGCTAATAAGAAAAGTTAAAATTTTTTTATAAAACACTGAATACTAACTCATCCTTAAGCAGAAATACACTGACTCAAAAAAGTGTTGTAAATTTTTCCCAAAGACTCCAATAAAGCAACATATGACACCTTGTGTTATAAGAATATTATAGTAACTCAATTCTCACATGAAGAAACACTGAGACTTAGAGATGTACTGTTCATTCTCCCAACACACTGTCTAATAGAGTAAAAACTATCAAGGAAATTCCTGAAGTCTAAAACATAATTGCCAGTTCTGGAGTTCCTCCCATAACCTAGTGAACTGGCCCTGCAGATGTCAGAGAGGGAAGGGAACCAAACCATGCAAAAAGATAAGAATGAAAACCCAGTGCAGGCTGACATCATCAACTACTTCAGGGAGTCTAATACCAGGCGGTTCATTGCCAGCATATTTAAAACACAGTACGATTTGGGAAAAGGTAACAGGACAATCAGTGCAATCAGTCCAATTCCAGGTGCACAATAAAGCTTAAGGTGTGAACATAGAGACTTCTTTACAAAATACAAGGGACCACGAGGATCTAGCTAACAGGCCTAGAATTAAGTGTAGACTCTGACAGAAAGCACAGAATTCAGCAGGCCATAAAGTACATGAGACATCTCCAAGCCTAAAGATGGGTAATCTAGGGAGGAAAGAGTGTGGAATAATCATTCTGGGGAATCCGGACGAGCTCTGCCTCCACAGACAACAAAAGATCACCAGGTCATTAATAAAATCCATTCTTAGATTTCTGGATGGAATGCAGGTATCTAAATTTTATTTCCTTACATTGAGGAGACACCCCTGTATGATTATCATTCCTGGTACTCTTAGTGCTTCTCTGTGAGTACAACGACAACTATGCCAACAACCTAGTGATTCCTACACATACATGTATATATAAACATGAAAACATGTTTATACCTAAACTAGCATATGAATATTCGTAGCAGCATTATTCACATCAGACAAAAAGCAGAAACACCCCCAAATGTCCACTGATGAATGGATAAACAAAATGTGTTATAGCCATACATTTAAATGTTATACAGCTATGAAGTACACACAGGTTATGATCTGCACAAACTTTAAATGCATTATGATATGGGGGGGATAGCAAACATTGAATACTGTCGTTTAACAGTAGGTAAACCCACAGAGATGCCTGATAGATTAACTAGCTGTCAGCAACTCAGGACAGGAATAACTGGAGCAACTGTTAATAAGGATTTTTATTTAGGGGTTGACAAAAATATATTAAAAGGTTAGTGGCAGTAAAATTGAATAGGATGCAAATTTATTTAAGTGTTTAAAAAGAAACATTTTTATACACATTCATGTATAAAAACTACAATAGATTAAAATATATCAAGAATAAGATTGAGAATGCCAAGATTCTATACAATAATAATTAAAAGACTACTAAAACATCAAAAAATGGGATAACTAGAAACGAAAGAGACAAATTAAGAAACTAATATGCCAAATTCAGTCTTAAAACTAATGCAGCTTAATAAATTAAGAACTAGTGTCAGAAGTAAGTAAACTATTATGGTGATACAAAAGAACTACGAATTTTGTTTTTGTTCTTTGGAGCCATTCTTGAAAGACAGTATTAATTAGCCTAGAAATCACTGTGCAAAATAGATTATCAATGAACAGCAACTGTCCATCTACTACTTTCTAAGAACTGGGATTGCAGGCATCTACCACCACATCTAACCAGGACTATGGGAATACTGATATTTAGAGAGGATAATGAATAGTAAAGATTGGAAAGGGCATGTTTTAAATCTAATTTATCTTATATTCTTATTTTAAAGAAAAATTTCCCGCCATCTTTATAGACCTCAGGTTAACAATGGTAGTAGTTCACAATCTATGTGGTTTAACAGGAATGAGGGAACATTTTTTAGACAGGGTCTCTCTCACTACATAGTTTAAGCCGATCTTGAACTCATGTAGCCAAGCATGGTCCGGAATTCAAATTCTTTTGCCCAAGCCTCCTAAGTGCTGGGATTAACTGGTCCAACAAAGTCCTTTAAAGGAAGAAAATACTTAAAATCCACATATTAATAAAGTCTAGGAACTTTAGCAGTTCACAATAAAAAATATACCTCTAAGAGACTCAAATGGTATCTGAATGCAAAACAAACTAAAGGAAGTATAAAATGCTTCTGTTATAAGTACACCTAAATCAACAGTCACTGACTTCATCGACCCTTAGTGGAAAAACAAACAACTATGAATACAAACAAGCAATTATAATACCACATGATGAATGCTCTTCTGGAAATCCACAGAAAGACTCTGAGAGGTCAAAAAAGGTTTCTCATAATGGCATTAATGTTATGTTATGCTATTTATAACATAATGTTATGTTATGCCAATGTTATTTTCTCATATGTTATGAGAAAAGTAATAAGCAGAAGTTAGCCCCTAATACTATGTTACAAAGAGAAAATACGGTTATTAAAGACAAGAGAATACAGTACCACAAAAATAAGAAAACAGCTATTTAGGGCTAAAGTGCAAGTGTGCATGTGCATGCATGCCTGTGTGTGTGTATGTGTGTCTGTCTGTCTGTCTTTTGGGGGCAAAGATGAGATTGGAAAAAAGTAGAGATATCCAAATTACAAAGGTTAAAAGCAAAGGCTAAAAAAATTGACTTTAACCAAAGGTAGTATGAATCAATGAAAGATTAAGAGGTATAGTCAAACAGCAAGAAAAAACATTCTAGAAAGATCTCTCTCATCTGTGTCTTGTCACAAATGCCCAAGTACACCGGGCACAGGCTGAAATAACAAACCAACAAACAAAAAACCCAAATGAATAATAAATTCTGCCCTCGACCAGGGAAAGAAGCATTTAAACAATTAATAAAAAAAGGCATACAAAGAAAAATACCACAAAAAAGTGTACAAGTTATAGAACTGATTCAAACAATAATGATTCAAAAGCTGTGTGGTGGTGGTGCTTGTCTTTAATCCCAGCACTGAGGAGGCAGAGGCAGGCGCATCTCTTTGAGTTTGAGGCCAGCCTGGTCTACAAGAGTTAGTTTCAGGACAGGCTCCAAAGCTACACAGAGAAACTCTGTCACAAAACAAACAAACAAAAACAAACTGAACAAACAAACAAAAAAACAAAGTCCCAAATTCAATAATACATAATTCAAACTATTTAGTGCCCAACCAAAACTATTAAATATTAAAACAAACTATGAGGGAAAATGAAAACAACAGTCAACAGAAACAGCAATAAATGATAAAGATACTAGAACTAGTAAACAATGAGTTTAAGAATTTTTAGAGATGTCAGCAAGATAACCAACTAAAAAGTTCATAACACTTGCTCCCTCCCCAAAAGACAGCAGGACAACCAATAAAAACTACACTTTGATGAAACCAACACAAGAAGAACCAGTATGCCATAAACTCTGCAGAACCCAGAGCCGAGAGTGGCCTCATACAGAATGAAAAGAAAATATGCCATCTTCACAGTTCAATCCCCAAAAAGCAACCAGGATGAACTTTTTATTGTAGGTAAAGGGAAAATAAAAATCTCCAGTAGCCCCATTACCACCCTGAACACTTATAGTCCTCATAAATATTAAACACAGTTGAAAGAGCTAACTAGAGACCACACAGCAGTGATATACCACAGAAGAAGCCAATACTGTATCCCATCTCCTACCCACGTTTCAGAACCAAACACAACTGCTAGAACATGCCCTGCTCCAGAGGGAAGTAGTAATGGCATCCTTCTATCCCTAAGGCTTTATGATCAGAGTCACCCCTGCTGGTGGCCCATGATTCAGAATTCACAAAGAATCAATGCCCTTATCACCATGACTATGCCCTATATCTCAGGCAAAGTAGTACCTCACCTCCAGAGAAAACAGTACCTTGGTTATCCTAAGTAGTCATAATACTATTCCCAGATTGAGATGGCACACTGTCTGCTGTGCAAACTAAAACCAAGGCTCCTGGGCCCATATTACTGACTGGTGCCTCCAAGTCACTTGCATTAATTTTGGTTTTATTTTTTAATTTTACTTTAAATGTATGTGTGTTTTGCCTGTGGAGGCCAGAAAAGGGCATCAGATCCTCTGGAACTGAAGTTACAGAACAATGTAAGTAGGTTTGGACATTGAACTCAAAAGCAGCAAGTACTCTTATAAATAACTAGCCTATCTCTCTAGCCTTAGACACCAGTTTTTTGGCCAATCTGCAACCAAGTCTGCCTCAGAAATTGACCCTCTTCCAATATTCAAGTGTCACACAGGTTTCTGTAATCCTAAACTCAGAACTCAATTCTAGAGCTGCTTTCAGAACCTACACTCTGAACTATAACATCTCTTTCTAGTCTGACATATTAGACAAAGGCAAATGCTGTGCTGGTAGGTCTCGGAAGGTTCCAGTGCATGAACAGTGGCTCACCAAAGGGGTGAAAGAAGGAATAAATGACAGAGTGGTGTGAATGACAAGATTACACTGTTTTAGGGGCAGTTATTCTCCCTATAATAACTTTGTAATTTCTCCCTTACAAGAAGTATACTGAAAGTCAAGATTGTTCACTCAACTCAGGGTCTTTGAGCAGCCAAGCATGGCCCATGGAGAGGCAATGGGTATGGGTATGTTACTCTCCTGGAACCCAGAATCCAGCTCCAGTGGCAGGTCTAGGAAGCAAGAGCACAGCTCTGCCACCCTATATTCTATCCTGAGCCAGAAAAGCAACATAAGCTAGTCCTGCCAAAGTCATGAGAGGTGGCAAGATGCCCGGCATCCTGACAGCAGCATTCCAGGAAGGAGGCAGGGTGACTCATGAAAAAAGGAGATGCTAACAGCTTAAATAAGATAGTACCTCATATCCATACTCTATTACTCAGTATTGTATTTTGATGGAACAATTGATACACAATGAAATATTTTCACGCTATATGTGAACTTACTTTTTGCTGCTGCATTCCAAGACCAAACTGCACTTACTTAGAATGAATGGCAGCGTGCCTTCAGAGATGCTAACAGCCTTTGTGAAAGAGTTTCACTATTTTTAAAAAGCATCTGGAAGAACAGCATAAAACAGAGTTTGAATGATATGGGAATGGTGGCACAGGTCTATAATCCCAGCACTTGAGAAAGAAAAGGCAGGAGCAACATGAGTTCAAAGCCAGTTTTGGATACATAGTAAATCTGGGGTCAATCTGGACTACCTGGGTTTCTGGATCTAAATAAATCCCTTACTCCCTGTAGTGGTTTGAATAGGTATGGCCCCCATGGCGTCATGTGTTTGAATGCTTGGCCCATAGGGAGTGGCACTACTAGGAGGCATGGCCTTGTTGGAGAAAATGTGTCACTGTGGGGATAGGCTTTGAGGTCTCATACACTGGGTGTAGCTTGAATTGTGAAACAGTCTCTTTCTGCTGACTGCAAATCAATATGCAGAACTCCCCAGCACCATGTCCTGCCATGATGATAATGGACTAAACCTCTGAAACTGTAAGCCAGCCCAATTAAATGTTTTCCTTTCTAAGAATTGCCATGGTCACTGGGCAGTGGTGGTGCACACCTTTAATTTCAGCACTCAGAAGGCAGAGACAGGCTGAACTCGAGACCAGCCTGATCTACAGAGCAAGTTCCAGTTCCAGGACAGCTACACAGAGAAACCCTGTCTTGAACCCCACCCTATCAAAAAAAAAAAAAAAAAGAAAAGAAAAGAAAAGAAAAGAAAAGAAAAGAAAAGAAAAAGGTTGCCATGGTCATGGTATCTCTTCACAGCAATAAAACCCTAACTGAAACATTCAGCCACCTACATACTTCCACAAAAAAGACAAAATAGTTTGAAGGCACCTTACACAAAAGGAGAAAGGTACTCTTAAACATCATCAACATTATCACAGCACCCACAGTACCTCTCTATGCTTTGGCAGCCAGGGAGATCACTCCTACTGTTTTTTAAATAAATAGGATGTCTCTACAAACTGCATGCTTTTAAATGTTGTGTTTGTGACCACAGATGACTGTGGCTGTCAAATCTCAGTCACAGAGGAAAACTTTTTAAGCAGTCTGAACTTGACAAACTGCTGAAATTGACAGTTGCTGCTGTAGCAGGTGGTATAATGAATGCTAAGCCATAAGAGGAGGAACATAATGAGATTTCTTTACCAGGCCCTCCAAAACTCATGAACATCTGGGATGTGGGTAGGGATGAATCAAAGAGTTCTAGGGAGGGGTGTTGTATGCTATTTTTCCTAAATGGAAAATTCTCTCTTAGAGGCAGAAGCTCAGAAGACTCTTTACATTCATAAAACTTACTAAGCTCAGGTAGTTTACCACACTTAAAAGATTCAGCTCAGGGTTCACAAGGCCCTTTCCCAGCATCACACAAGCAGTAAAAAATTGTGAAGGATAATAAAACCCTACTGCAGAGTTGCCTGACAGGGAACTTTAGGTACGACTTTTGTGACTCATGGTGGGTGGCCTTCTCAATGATGCAGCTACCTTTAATATTCATGATTAGTATCAAGAGACTCCAATTTAATCTTAAATTACACAGGGTGAGGGACAAATTTCTATTTCTGAACTTATTACAAAGCTATAATCATTGAAACAGTACTATCATTTCTACTTATGTTAAAACACCATAAATTTAGTCAGATCAACTGGATAAACAAAATCCAAGCAGAAAAGTTATCAAAATGATCTGTTTATAAATGACACTGTATGTAGAAAGCTTTAAAGAATTCACAAACTTAGGAGTATAGATCAGCTGAAGAGCACTTGTCTGACATGTGCAAGACCCTAGGTATCTAATCAATCCAGGGAAAAGGGAGGGGAAAATCACATACAAAGCACAGTCAACAATAATAAGCTCAATAAAATATAGAGTAAACAAAACAACACACAAAAATCAATTCCAGTTTTAAGCATTTGCCCACCATGGACTTGGGAAGCTGAGATAGAGTTCTCAGGGAAGTCCGTCTAAAATCAAATTATTTTCAATGTACCAGCAATGAACAATCTAAAAGGGAAATTAAGAAAGCAATTCCATTTACAGTAGCATCAAAAAATTATGAAATAGTAAAGTATTTGGCTCCATTTCAGCTTATTTTTAATTATGTATATAAGTATGTTTTTGCATTTACACAAATGGACTAGACATTGTTGATGTACTTATTGCCTATATTATATATAGTAGTGCTTATTGTATATAGTTTTTCCTGTATTAGTTACAGCCTTCTTTTTATTTTAGACAAAAAAGGGGAAATGTAGTGATATTTCATTTGAATTTCAATAAACAAAGCTTGCCTGAAGATTAGAAAGTAAAACAGCCACACTGGTCAGCCATACAGACCACGCAGTAGTGGCACACCTTTAATCCCAGTAGCCATACTAGTTGGCCATAGAAGTCAAGCAGTAGTGGTGGATGCCTTTAATCCCAGCACTAGAGAGGAACATAAGACGCGAGGAGACAGCTCTCAGCTCAGTCTCATTGTGAGAATCCTGGAGGCAGGATCACCATTTCGGTCTGAGGCAGAGTTAAGAGTCAGTGGTTGGCTGCTTTGCTTTTCTGATTTTCAGGTTGAACTCCAATATCGGTCTCTGGGTTTTTATTAATTGTGCTACACGTCTCTAACACTACATAACTGGGGCTGGAGAGATGACTCAGGATTAAAAGGGTTTACTGCATTTCCAGCGGACCCAAGTTCTGTTCCCAGCACCCATATCAGGCAGCTCATAATCAACCATAATTCCAGTTTCAGAGGATCCACTGCCTCTTGCCTCAGCAGGCACCTCTACATATGAGCAAATGCAGAAAGATATACCTACAGACATAATTAAAAATAAATCTAAAAAGAAAGAGTATTCATATCCTAACAGCTCTAAGTGGGACCCACAGCACATGGAAGACCTGGATGCTGAGGAGATCTGCCTCTTAGTTACTCAGATATTGAACAACTTACCCCTATTTTTCTCTCCAGTAAAAGAAAAGAGGGGTGGAGGCAATTAATATACTAGGCTGAAGATTGTGCTGACAGGGCTGGGATGTCACAAAGTGTTAGAGTTCTTGTCTAACATACACAAAGCTGTAGGTTTGATGTCTAGCAGTGACAGAACTGGACATGGTGTGTTGGCATGCATGTATGCACCAAGTGGATACCTGGTACCTGCAGAGGACAAAAGAGGGCACTGGGTCATCTAGAACTAGAGTTTCAGAAGGTTTCAAACTCTCATGAACTCCCATCCCATGTGGATGCCAGGAAGCAGAATTGTAGCTAGTATAAAGGCAGCCTGGGAGAGAATGAGACCTTGGCTCAAAAAAGCAGCAAGTGTTGTTTTTAATTTCAGTACCTAGGAGGCAGAGCTAGGAGAATCTCTGTGAGTTCAAAGTCAGACTGATCTAAAAGGCAAGTACCAGGCCAGTCAAAGCTACTTACTGAGATTGTCTCTGCAACAGTAGCAATGACTGGATACAGGACAACAACAAGTTGGGTTACAAGTACTTCACAGCTATAAAAATCACACCAAACTATAACAGACATGCTTTCCAAAGTCCTCAATACAAAATTTACTTCTGTAATGTCCTTGAGACAATAGCCAACATACCTGCCCACCAAAATATATTATAAAAAATGTGGCCAATTACTATACAATTAAACTTCTAAATGTATATTCCTCTATATTTCACAATGTATTTGAATTGACTAAAATGAAACTTTATGAAGGACCATTGCTCCAGTACTTGAAACAAATAAATCATTGGCTTAAGTAAGTAAAAACTCAGATCAAAAACACAGTATTTCATCTGAGAATAAGAATATATCCACTGCCTAATAACTGAAACTGATCACTCACCTGAGACCATGGTCTGTGATCTGATAACATCCCGATAGACTGAGGAACAAAAGTACTCGTCCAGTCTCTTGGTCAGACTTTTCACTCCCAAAATAAATTAAGTCTTTTCCCCTGGGCAATGTAGTCCTTAATGCTTTTCTACACATTGCAGAAGTCGTTGGGAGAGTAGACATAGTCCTCAGAGCTGTCCCTGTGCAACAGAATGAATGGCCACAATATGCAAGGGCTGGAGAAGCACAATGCTGCTGCCAACACACACTAGTCCTTAATCCCACCAAGTCCTTACTGTAACAACCAGATGAAGAACAACCAAAGTTGGAGGCTGTTTCCATTACACACAGACTTTCAACATTTCTATGTCTCCATTCTACTGCATCTTCAATATCGGCTAAATCTTCGGCATCTAGCATCCACACGTAAGGAGAAGTCAAACTTTCAGAAGACACAGATTTAGTCCAAGTGTGCTCGTTGTCTATTTCTTCACCAACACCTTTGTCATTCAAATTGTGCAAACAAGCAAACTGCTTGGGGGACTGCATGGTGATGTCTTTATTTGTCCATGGACTTGAAACAGCCTTGCCTGCACTTTTCAAAAAGTCACTCTGGTAAGATGTTAGAACTCCAAGAGCTCTAGAAATCTTCTCTAGAGCCATGTCTGTGATTTTTTCACATCCAGATAGATCAAGATGCCGAAGACTCTGGCAGCAACCAAGCCAAGACCAACTACAAGAGGGAGGAAGACTATTAAATTCTTCAAAAGCATTAAACCACATATATACAGATGAGCATTAAATTATTTAAAATACAAAATAATCATTTTATTTCTAGAATTTCTATCATCAGGGAATAATTTTTAGGACTAAGGATATAAAAAGATACTAAGGTAAGTAATTTCAAAAAAAGAGAAAACAAATATCATTGCTAAGCTAGCAGAGGACAGGATGGGAGGGACACAAGTTTCCTGTTCTATTAGTAGGCAGTAGAGAAAAGGCAGACTACACATAAAAGAAAGTAACTACTGTATAACGAAGATACAGAAAAAACAAACTTTAGAAACAGGTAGAAGAATCTCTCTTTCCCTGTGAAATAAAAAGAAAAAGAAAAGAAAGAAAAAAGAAAACTAGTAGCCTCCAAGGAAGAATCATTTACAAAGAGTGTGGCCTGAACAAATTGGTACTAAACCAGAAAAACCATGAATTAAAAGGGAGCTTTGACAAAAGGCATTTAAAAACTGGACTAAAACATTAAAAACAGGTAATGTTGATCTAGACAACTACAAAGCAAGGCTCATAAGCTCAGGCATGATGTACAGATGGCAGTACCAATGTTCTGGACCAGCTACTGTATATTAACAAGAGACAAAACTATCAAGTTACAGTCATACATGGCAGAAATTTAGTAGAAATATAAAATAGTGTGAGTAAATAGTGACTATGTAAACAAGGAAATAGAAAATATCTTTTACTGATTTCAGTGAAAATTTATTATATCCAGAGATTTAAAAATAACCTGTCAAATGCAGAATCGGAAATATCAGTCTGGGTAAGATCCAGATGTTCCAGGTTAGGACAAAGCTCTAAAATCTGCCTAACCTAAGAATGAAAAGAAAGTCATCATGAGGACATGTGGAGCTTTAATTAAGCAACAGACAACACTAAATATAACTCACTGGTTTTCCTAAGCCTATATGCGTACTGAAAGAAAACAAAATTCACTTAACACATTATAAACTAGATATATTCGGTGTTGGTTTGTGTGGTGTATGTGGAAGACAAAAGTTAATTCTCAGTATCTTCCTCCTGAACACTAAGGCCACAGGTTCTGCTAGTGTAGCTGCCAATGGGTACCCATGTCCTTTGGCCCCCAGCACTGTAGTTATAGACATACGCCATTAAACATGTATCTGTACATGCTAGAGATCAGACTCAGGTCTCTGTGCTTACACAAAAGGCATTTTATTAAACAAGCCATTTACCTCTCCAGTCTCTGAGCTCATATTTCTAGTAATCTTCTTAAAGAGTCTTAGAAATTAGACCCAGAAAAATCTTCTTTTTTAAGGACTACCTAAAGTGATTGTATGTAGGAAGTCATAACATTTATAAAACTGGCTTCACCTCACTTGTCCATCTTGCCATGTCTTACTTGTTATAATGACCATATAAAACTAAGACTCACGATTTAACATCTATAAATCCCAATAAATGATTACCTGCCTAGTTTCAGTTCCATTATCTATAGCACAGGCAATGATTCCTAAGCTACAAAGAATACTCTAAGAACTGCAATTATATGAAAGCAAGCAGTGTACACCTACCCATGGGAAGACACTCTGTTCTTTCCCTCTTAAATAAACATTAATAACCAAACCAAAGTTGTTTCACTGCTATTTTTCTTAATACTCAAGCTAGTATTCATTTGTACATACCATTTTGCTGGAGACTGCAGAGCTGTATGCTAACACTAAAGTTTTTACAGAGGTACCAACATATGGCAGAACATTATGAATTAAGCCATGGAGTAAACGTTTTTCCATTTGTGCAATGCTGATAGCAATCGATTCCTCTGCAGACTCTTCTGTAAAATGAATTCAAACATCTAAGAACTAGATACACCAATTATAAGTAGGCCACTCAAAGGATGCATCAAGTACTAAATAGGAAATACTCTATGCTGCCCTCAAACTCCCTTTACAAGCAATTCCACTTTCAGGCAACAAGAGAAAGTTCTGAAGAGAATGCTGAATAGTGAAAAATTGTAAAAATTCTTCAAGAGAATAGAATATGATACAAAGGAATAAATGATCTACAGTTTTTGTTAAAGAAGCATCAGTTGTTCTACCTAATTAAAAAGGACAGAGTTAGCAGAGATGTGAAACAACTTCATTAACTTTATCATCGTGAATCGTCAAGCAAAAGACAATACCTTCGCTCCTAAGAAGTTAAACATGGCCTTTTGCAGTTGACTTAGTTTCTATAGAGCTTAAATGTTTATGCCAAGTTATACTTCTCTAACAACAAACTACAGCTTTAGCTTGGGAAAGCACTGTTTTCATAAGATGGGCGAAGTCTCAATACTGAGTAAAACAAAAATTACACTTCAATTTTATAAAAAGAAAAACATACTATAAATGGACCAAAATCTCTATCACCTCTCAGGATCCTGTTACTATACTTACCTAAATTCCTAACCTAAATATATCTAAGCATAAAGCAGCCTAACAGGTTAAAGGTTTATTTAAAATAAAACAGAATACAGTGGCTAAAAAGAATATGTGAAAAGAGTAACTGTTGACCATGTCACTGATTTCAAGTGTTAGAAATACCTTAAACTCCTCCTTAACTTGGATACTATCACTAAAAATCACTTCAGCAAACCTTATTTATTTCACTACACTTTTATTCCTAATTCATTCTTCCACCCCCTACCTAGATATGCTTTGTTTACTATAAAATCTAAAGTTACAGACCATACTGTCTGCCACAGATAAGCATATGATTGAAACCAACAAAAATATATCTCCTCTTCCTTATTAAACAAATTTTCAAACTCCTGAAACTATACCAAAATATCCCCCCTTCAACCCATGAAAACCTAAAATACATTAGTTACTAAAGTAAAATCACTGTAACTCTTATTTTCAACAAAGATCTTCCACCAGACCAGCTTACTTATTTTAGCTTTATAAACAGAAATTTTTAAAACTTCTCATCTATAAATTTTCACTAGTTTACGATCTTTTAGAAATTATTATGTAAATTAATATCTAAGACAGAATCTGCCTTTCTCTTCTATACCCTGAAGTATCATCTGTGCATCTCTATTACAGCAATTTTCATTATGTACCTTATAGGAAGAATTAAGTATTCTAAATTCTCTCTTACTTCTATTTATTTAACAGCAGAGATAAATTTTTAGACACTTTTATACTCTACCTCATACAGCACTTAATTGGAGGAGGACCCTAAAACTGTGCAACACAATTAATCTTCACACATGACTTTTTTTTTCTGTAGCACTGGAAACTAAACCCAGGGCTTTACAACGTTATGCAAGTGTTCTACCCTAAGCTATACTCACCCAATTTCTCATAAATACTACTTCTTAACTCTACAATAACCCTGAGGCAAATGATATGACTTTACAAACAGACAAAAGATCATCTTTTCTCCCCTCAACCACAGATGATTCAATAAATGCTGATGAATTGATTAATTAAAACCCTAAATCACATAATGTAAGCTGTAAAGCACTATAATGAAGATAATTTATTCTACATAAAATAGCCATCATTTTCTGACTTTATTATTTTAATATAAAATAGAAGAAACCACTTTATTTTAAAAAGTACTTCTAACAAGAAATTCTAAATGTACTTATTGTTCCTTCAAAATCTTCAAAGAAGGCTTTTTAAAAATCTTTAGAAAACATGAAACAAATGAATTTTAAGACCCAATAATATTAACGAGAATATCAGTCTTTTAAGCACCATGTAATAATTTTCATTTCAAGCACAAAATACCAGATTCATCTCTATCGGCGTCTTCATCCCACTCCTGAAAAGCACGACTTTCATCTTTCCTACTTCTCACCCACTCCTCGTCAGGTTCCGTGTCAAGTTCAGTGGCAGGACCACTATACCAGTCACCTAGATGATGAATAAACAAGAGGAACAAAGTCAAATTAGATATAAAGTTATTACAAAAAAGAATCCCCTATTCACACTTGAATTTCAGGCAACCGCTAATTTTAGAATTTTATTTTAACCTATACATATAATCAAAGGATTCAATTTAAAACACACTGAAAGAATTAGGGCTATGTGAGTTCAATTAATAGTAATTACTAACCAACAGTAAGTATTTTCCAGAGTACCGTTCTCTAAAACTAAAGAAAAAGAACTTCAAAAGCTTACATAGTTTTAGTTTGCTATATACCTGCCATGTATCTGTTCTCTTAGAAAAGTTTTCAATGATACCCTTTAAAAACAATAAGCTTAATGATCATAATCCAATTTCTAAGAAAATAATTATCAGTATTTATAGGTGCAATTTCTTTTTTTCTCTCGTTTTTTTTCTTTTTCGGTTTTTTGAGACAGGGTTTCTCTGTAGCTTTGGATCCTGTCCTGGAACTAGCTCTTGTAGACCAGGCTGGCCTCGAACTCATATAGGTGCAATTTCAAAAAAAGAAATCACTGGAAATGACCTAATCTTTTCTTCCCTATAGTAACTTCACTTTGGATACAATAATAGCCTCGTTCTGAGGACAGCTCACAAAGTACTCTGTGGTGACTGGTCAACAGCATACAATTAGACAGGAAAAGAAGTCAAGGGGCCCACTGAGATAAAGTGAAACCATAAATGTATAGATACTACAATTACAGTACATGTATTATATGTTCATGAAGATGGAGACAATAATAATTTATTAAATTCTTATAATGTCTAGGGTTTCTCAACCTAGACAACACTGACATCTAAGGCTGGGCAGTTCTTTGACTTATGTTGTGAGCCTATGGATTATAAGGTGCTTAGCAGCTATCTAGGCCTCTACCCCCTAGACCAGTGGTTCTCAACTCTCCTAATGCTTTGACCCTTTAACACAGTTCCTCATGTTGTGGTGACCCCCCAAGCATAAAATTATTTTCATTGCTACTTCATAACTCTAATTTTGCTACTATTATGAACCATAATGTAAATATCTGATACGAGACCCACAAAGGGGTAGAGACCCACAAGCTGAGAACCACTGCACTAGATAATGGTATGATAACCAGAACTAGGACAAGCAAAGGTGTCTTCAGACGTTGTAAATATCCTGGACAGGAGCAAAAATAAATGTCATAAACAAAAAGAAATTTTAACCAAAGGTTTGATCTAAATATGTTAAAAACAGAAAAGAAAAGTGAAGTAGCATATTTAAGATGCAGTGGCTTCATGAAATCAACACAGCATCACTTTCAATGGTATTCACACTATCATTTGGATTTATCTTAATTCTTAAATAAAACAGCTGAACAAGAAAAAGCTGGCTCATTTTTTACTCAAATTTTGCCATCCTACAAGTAATGTGAAAAAATGATCTATATAAAATAATAATTCTGATCACTACCAAAACACTAAATATCTTAAAAAAAAAAAAACAACTTATTTTAAAACTGCATGAGAAGGTGCCTCTAATTCCAGCACTAAGGAGTCGATGCAGGAGGATGAAGATTAAGAGGTCAGTTTAGGCACTAGATTAAGTACACTTTTCAAAACATAGTGCTAGCAAAAAAAGAGGCAGGTGGACTTCTGAGTTCCAGGCCAGCCACCACTAAATAGTAAGAATCTGACTTTTTATCAAATGCTTACTTATCTTTAAGCAAGATTCAGAATTCAAAATAGTCAAAATTTTGTTAAGAAATATGTATTTCCATTGCAAAATGTACTGTAAGGGGAAAGTATATTAACTTATATGAATTTTAAGCAGATACTTAAAAAATACTTAAAAGACTGTTTAATAATCAACAAAAAAATGTGGTGCACAATAACTGTAAATACTCCATGACGGTTTAACATGCTCACGAGAAAAGTTTCTCTAAATCTTCAGATGTAAAAGTAACAGCACAAAAAAAAAACTAATGTGATTTAAAGAAAAACACATTACCAATCACTTTAAAAAGCTATGTTAAAGACAAAAACAGAGTTGGTTACTTTAAACCATGACCAAACAAGAACTGTACATAGCTCATCTTAACATTTTATAGAACTGAGTCTATTTAAAATACTCAAATAATCCAATTATTTAACAATTCTAAAAATCAATTACAATTATTTTAAACTTCTATGGAAAGTTTTAACCATAGTCATATGTACAAAGATGCAGTACAATGAATCTGTGTATCCATTTTTTATCTCCAACAATTATCAACATTTTACCAATGTTCTTTACAATCCCTCTGACATAGTTTTCCTAATTATTCTAAAGGAAATTGTAGTAATTATATAGTTTACTCACAACAACTTCACCATTGCTAGCTCTTCTAAAACGTATACTAAAACCACATCAACTACAAAATCTATTTTTTGGCCAAACCCTCAAAGTTTCCTTTCCCTGGCATTACAGATTAATCAAGTTGAAAGTCCCCTTTACCTACCTCTGGCCCAATGAACAGGGTAAAGATGTTTCCACAAAGATCCTGTTTTTGCCAGCTGAGACCACTTAGTACTGACTTGACTGCACCGACACAATTCTTGAGGATTAAGATAACTGAAAATGGACAGCATTACCTCAGGAGGAAGATGGGTTATACCTGTGGAGTGTTCCGACACTTCCGCTTCTGAAATAAAAAAGGAAACATTTAACATTAAGGCTACATGAGCAATGCAGTAAGAAATTACAATCACATAAGTAAAAGTCAGTGCCTGAAGTTAATTCCTTCCTGCTTGCAACACAGGAAAAGGAAATAACACGTATTAGAGGTAGCATGGGGATGTTGAACTTGTTAAGAACCCGTAGGGTTAAACTATCATGGCCCAGATCATACTTCATCAGTGGGAGCTACAATAATGAACATGGAATTGACTTCCTCTTACAAAGGCGTCATAGAAAAAACAATACTCACTTTGTAGCACAAGCAGCATCATTTGAAAAAGGAACCAAACAGGTTACACTGCTTTAAAGCAGCAAGCATATACTCAGCCAGATTACGAGATCTCTAAGGCATTGTTAATGACATACATGCTCACATTTTTTATTCATGCATTAAGGCTCCAGTTAGTTCCTTGTGTTCCCTCTCTGACTTTGACATTTCAAGTAAAAATTCTATAAAATCTGATTTTTCTAATGTACAAATGCCTTAACCTATTTATACTATGTACCAATTCAGTAAGCATAAATGTCCCTGGTGCACTGGTAAGAAATCTTCTGCTTTTAAGTATTTTAGAAAGTCACTAGATAAACAACTTCCTATGATCTTGCAATTTGGTCTAATTTTTCTGAAAGAAAAATGTAAATGTGGTGTTAAGATAAAGAATGAATTATCTCCAAAATAGTATAAAAATAAGATTCTTATATATCTGGTTCTTCACAAAGAATCTTAAATATAGAAATGCTATGATCAAACTACTTTAACTGCCACTTTTAAAATACCAAATATTTTAAACATAATGCTGCTATAATTTGCTTTGAAGGAAAGGGAAAATTAAATGTGTGTGATGCTTTTAAACTCCATTTTATAGTTCTAATTAAACAAGACACAACAGGCTTTGGTAGGGTATTCAGGGCACAAGCTGTATTTCAAGAGTAAAGCTCAAAGCTTTATGGGTTTAATCATAGCTTCAACTTATAAAATTATTTTTGTTTAAACATGAATCTGACTACTTTAATACTGGAAAAATATCAATTTCAAAAAAATGTACAGGACTAACACTGTCATTACCTATCAAGAAGCAGAAGAATTTCTCTAGACTAAGGATGCCAACTATTTGGGTTGTCCTGTTTTTCTGTGTCTATTCCCTGGCTGGCCTGGAATTTGCTATGCAGACTATGCTAGCCTCAAACTCAGAGATCTATCTGTTTCTGTGCCTCCAGAATGCTGGATTAATGGTGTGCCCAACCATGCCTGGAACCAACTATATTTTTAATGTTCTAAAAAGCAATGCTATTGAGATAAATAAGAATAAAAATAAGGTAAGAGTCTATTAGAAAAGGTAAGCATCTATTTTATTTGCATTTCTTGTATGAATTCTTAAAGTAACTACACAGAAAAGCTTTTTTTTGTTTCTCATACTCACTAGAGTATGAATATTACTAGAGATAATACTGAGAGAATGATAAACATCAGAGGATAAAAATAAAATTATAAATGTCCCTTTCCTTAACTCAAAATGGAGTTATAGCCCCAATAAATCCATCATTAGTTATACATGTCTAGAAACAGAAGCGCATCTAACCTAGGAACCACCATAGCTTTTGAGCTGTAGGGCATCAACTGTTCTCCATGACCAAAATGCATAACAGGTTTGATCCCTGGGAGGATATGATTGACTAGAAACCATGGCTCACTGCTGCTTAGCATTTAGATATTAAGAAAGCTTTATACTGCATACAAACTAGGTTTCAAAAGAACCAAATTGCAAAACTGAAGTATACAAGTTACCTTCACGCCATTATAAAGTACAAAAATTCTACAATGAACCATACATAAGTCAAGGACAATGCTTACAAACTGTAAACTGACTTTGAAAACTGATGAAAATACACAAAAATAAAAGATGGTATTGGAAGGCTGGAGAGAAAGACCAGAGGTTAAGAACGCTGGCTGTTCTCCCAGAGGACTCAGGTTCCATTTGCAGGATCCACATGGTAGTACACCACCAACGATAACTCCAGTCCCAGGGAATCTGACGCCCTCTTCAAGCCTATGCAAGAACTGAATGCACATGCTACAAAGGCATACAGCAGGCAAAACACGCATATACATACACTAAAAATAAAGGAAAAAAACTTAAACCTGTCAGTATGATCAAGGGAGCTCAGAAAGCTATCCGATACCATTAGTAATACTGCTCTGAACACAGCAGTCCTGAATTTTATTGGTCAAAAGAGTATTATTTTATTCCTACAAATTCACTCAAGAAACATCACATTACATGTAACCCAAGCCTACAAGATGGAAGATTATAAACACTAAATTCTACAATAGAAACTACTGCCCTCAATTGTATTTTTAAGTAAAGCTAAATGGCTTAAACAGACCACAGTATAAACCTGACTTAAATTATTCCTTAAACAATATCTATAATTTATAACAAAATGTCAATAGCACTGTACTAACAAATAGTTCTGTCAAAATAGATGAATCTTACCTGTATCTGCTTTTTCATCCACAGAATATTTGAAAAATTTCTGTCGCTCTTCAGCTTGATTCCACAGGCTGAGACCTCTAAGAAGTTCTGCTGTGTCCTTCTGTGAGCAATGCTGTGCAATCACTTTCTTTTTGATATCTTTAAGCTCTTCATATGTAAAATATTCCATTAACATGGGCTGAAAAACCTAGATTAAAAAGTATTTATAGGGAAAGAATTTTTTTTAAAGATTTTTTTAAAGAAGATTTATTTATTTAGTTAGTTAGTTTACAGTGTTCTGTCTGCATGTGTGCCTGCAGGCCAGAAGAGGGCACCAGATTTCTTTTACAGATGGTTGTGAGCCACCATGTGGTTGCTGGGAACTGAACTCAGGACTTCTGGAAGAACAATCAGTGTTCTTACCCTCTGAGACATCTCTCCAGCCCCTATAGGGAAAGAATTTCAATTTACTCAAAACCTTTTACTAATGGCTCAAGCTGAGTACTATGAACGCACAATTCAAAGAGATAAAATTTATAGGTATTACCATTAAACTATCTAAATTTTTAAAAGAACATAGAAAAACAATCTTTTTCTATGATTTTTCAGGCCTCTATATAATTTAAAAGAACAAGGTTTTCCTGTACCAAGCTTGATAAACAATCAATCATTGTGTTATTATTAGACACTTAGCCCACTATCTGCCTGTGGTGGTTTGAATAAGAATGGCACCCATAGTCTCACACATTGGAATGACTACTCATTAGGGAAATGCACTATTTAAGAAGGATTAAAAGGTGTGGTCTTGTTGGAGGAAGGATGTCACCGGAGGTGGGCTTCAGAGTTTCAAAAGGCCTTGCCAAGCACGCGCGCTCTCTCATGAGCTCTCTGTGTGTGTGTGTGTGTGTGTGTGTGTGTGTCTGTGTGTGTGTGTATGTGTCTGTGTGTCTGTGCGCGTGTGTGCCTGCCTACAGATCAGGAAGCAGTTCTTGGTTACTTCTCTAACACTACACCTGCCTGCTCTCTGCAGCCATGCTCTCTGTCATGATGAAAATGGACTAAGCCCCTGAAACAATATGCAAGCCTCCGATTAAATATTTTCCTTTTGAAGAGAGTTGCTTTGGTCATAGGTGTATCTTCACAGCGATAAAACAATGACTAAGGCACTGCCTTCTGATACTACTGAATTCTACCAAAATAGGGCCTTTTCCTTAGATGAATATAGTACCCAGTGTAATGGAGGCCAAACAATCCCAGCTCAGTTAAAATGAACTACCCAACATTGTTTGTTCAAATTGTTATTTTATTTCAGTGGGTCTTATGGAACTTTACAGAGAGTTCTTCTGCAAAACAGTCCTAATCTTCAATGAATAGGATTATAATCTTTAAATGAAGAACCAAGACTTTGTTGTTGTTTCCAGTTTCATCAATAACTTTGACAGGCATCAGAAGAAACAGTTACAAACGACTCTTAAGGGTAGGCTGCATGTACAGCAGTAAATGGCCAACAAAAACCAAGCCAAACAGCATCTTTAGAGGTTTCTTTCCTCATGTCATGTCGGGGCTCTTCTTTCTTTTTGTTTTTAATCACATATGTATGTATATGTGTGTGTGCATAAAATAAGGACAAATACATGCCATATGAGATATGTGACAAGAGATATGTATTTTTCTTCTCTTTAACTAAGCATTTCTTTTTCTTTTTTCTCCTCTTTTTTTTTTAATTGAAAATAGGATTTTCTTTTTCCTCTCACATAATCTATCTTGGTTATGGTTTCCCCTCAGGGTCCCTTACAAGCATATTATGTTTTCCAGTTTCGTGTTTTTATGGGATTCCCAAGTGTGCAAATGAGTGGGTCTCTGATTCTTGTGCTTTTCTTGGGTTCTTTTCCTTCTGTTTGTTTGCTGTGTCCAATTCTAATGCATTAGCTTTTATTTTATCTTACTATATTATATTATATTATTATCCCATAGAAGCCTGATTGTTTTCTAATGAGAGATAGGAAAGGGGTGGATTTAGATGGAGGGGGAGAGAGGGGAAAGCTGGGAGGAGTAGAGGGAGGGGAACCATAACCAATATATATTATGTGAGAGGAAGAAGAAAAACTGTTTTTCAATTTAAAAAAAGGAGGAGGAGGAGAAAGAAGAGAAGAAATACTTAGCTTAAGCACTGACTACATATTACATCATAAAACGTAACTATAATGAGATATGATCAAGTATCAATGAAAGAGAACCAAATCAATGCTTCCCACTCTGGGAGGAATGTAGAAAGTAGGCTGCATTTCTTTTTTTTTTTAATATCTATCTATCTATTATGTATACAATATTCTGTCTGTGTGTATGTCTGCAGGCCAGAAGAGGGCACCAGACGTCACTACAGATGGTTGGTTGTGAGCCACCATGAGGTTGCCGGGAATAGAACTCAGGACCTTTGGAAGAGCAGGCAATGCTCTTAACCACTGAGCCATCTCTCCAGCCCCTAGGGTGCATTTCTTTTTGTTTAACTCAAGCCAATTTTAAGGGGAAACCATAATTGTGCATCACAATAAATGATTTAGAGCTGGAAAAAAAAAAGTATACAGAGCCCAACAAGGGGGCTGAGTGGGTAAGAGTATTTGCTACAAAGACAGACGATCTGAGTTCAATTCCCAGAACCTATGGTGGAAGGGGAAAATTCCCAAATGCAGAATAAATGTTTAGTTTTTTTGTTTGTTTGTTTGTTTTTTCAAACTAAAGCTGGAAAGATGGCTAGTCAGTTAACGCAACTTGCTGGTCTTGCAAAGGGCCTGGGTTTGGCTTCTAGCACCCATATGGTGACTCAAAATCGTCTGGAACCTCAGTTCAGGGAACCTGGTGTCATCTTTTGGCACACAGTGCACATGCAAACATACAGACAAAACACTCATACATGTAAAATAAAAATAAATCGAGCAAGCAAGAGGAAGAGAGAGAGAGAATACGGTCCTCATAGGATAGTTTCTCTGTATCTTATGCTGGATACTCATTATGGAAAGAAGAAAAATTGTTTGCCATGTGTTTACTGATACACTATTTCATGTACATGAGGCACAACAGCGATAAATTTAAAACCACCATTTAATTATTCAAGACCACTCATGAAAAAAAATACTAAAAGCTCTTTAAATCTAGCATACAAAAAACATTTAAAGATTTACAGAATCTTCTAAAGGTTATGAAAAATTAGTGACAATTATGAACGTGTATCACAGTGCTATCACACATAAAAATACATATTTAAGTAATTAAATTAATTCATTCAGTGAAAGTAGAAACTTTTCTAAATAAAAATAAATTCTCACTGGATTCCATTCCTGTTCCCAAAAGAAAGCAGAGGATTCTGTCTTTCAACAGAACATTTTCTTTTAATGCATTATTTTGAAGAAACTGAGGCAAAATTATATTTTCTACTAAATTATGAATATAAATCACAACAAAGAAAAACTCTGCTTACCTCTTCTTCCTCTTTCATGTGAGGAAGAAAATCTCTTGTAAAAGCCTCCAATCTCTCTTTCAGCTGTTTTGCATAATTTAACTGCTCATACTCATTCTAGAAACAAAGAAAAAACACATTAGCAGAGTAGAGACATATATCGTTAAAGCCAGCACTCAGGAGGCAGCAGCTAACAGATCTCTAAGTTTGAGGCCAGTCTGGTCTCATATCAAGTTCCACACCAACCAGGAGAATACAGCGAGACACTCTCTCAAATATACGTAAAGGTTTGCTTCGTTCTATGTTGCCTGATCACAGGAAGTCAACTTAGTTTTCGTTTAGCATAAAGACGTCCTTAGAGTTAGGATGCAGCTCAAAGCTAGAGCACTTACTGACATGCTAACATTGTACACTCAGCCTTGGCACCACCACCCACGCACAGTCCTTAAATAACAAGCTTTGAATTCCTTAGTAACCCTAATCTTGGGTTGTTTATTAATTTTATTAAAATACAGCAAGTATATTTTAAAATATACTATAAAAAGTTTTATAATGCATTTTATGCTATCCTAACAGATCACATATACTGCTATTAACATTTATAATGGCAAGAAACATTTTAGAGTTCTAGATACCTCTCAACAGCCAAACATTTCTTCCACACATGAATTAAAATCACATCTCCCTGTAACTTATCCATCTGTCCTCTTTTCTCAATGAAAAAATATGGGAAACTTATAAAACAATGAAATATTTAAAAAATATACTAATACTGTGGTGATTTGAATGAGAATATTTCCCAAAGGCTTTAGCATCTGAATTTTGGTTCCCAATTAGTGGCACTGTTTAGGGGAGACTTGGGGGTGGGGCGGCCTTGCTGAAATAAGTATGTCACTCAGGGCAGAATTTGAGAGATAAAAATCTCATCATTTTCAGTTCAGTCTCTCTACTTCCTGCTTCCTATTTGTGGTTTAAGAACTGAGCACTCAGCTCTCAGCTTCCAGTTCCCATCACACCTACCTGCTAACACACACACACACACACACACACACACACTCTGGAATGTTTAGGTACTCGTCCCTCTGGAACTCTTAGCTCCAGATAAACCCTTTGATAAATTTTCTTGGTCATGGTGTTTTATTACAGCAATAAAAAAATAGCTACGGCAGGTACTACTTCATTCTTCCTGTAGCCAGTTTTTTTCATTTAGATAATTTATTCAACTAATTTCTAATATTCAGCTCAATGTTGAATTCTGCTGAGATTTTACACATCCTTTAAGCATTTCCATGTATGGCTTCCAATTGCACTTGTATGTTAATAATTATCAAATTTGCTTTTCACATTAGTTCACTCTTTCTGCTCTTCAATCTACCAGTGTCTTCTCTTCCTATTAATAAATACACGGCTATATAACGTAAAAAGTTCAGAATAAGGCTTAATCCCTAGACTTCTTTCCTCTACAAAGTCTAATACAATTCTCTTTCCCTTTTCCTCTAGCACTTTGTAAAATCAGAGTGTTCCATTGGTTGTAGGTCCTACATAATTTTCAAGCACGTACCTTCCCCTATATTTTTTAAAAAGTACTACTTTGGTTCAGACATTACTAACTACATAATACACGACTATGTTATAAAATACCAAGCGTACAAAGGAGTATTCAATAGAAAAGTTACCCTCCCTTCTGCTACTACCCAGTATGCTTTCCTCTACTAACCAACCACCTCCCCTCTGAATATAGACCAAGGATTCCTCCTTCTAGAGACTACTGGTAGAATTCTTTAGTTTGTTTTCTGGTCTTCAAAACTGATCCTCCAAGTAAAGGGTATATGGTGGCTTGATGGAGTTATAAACTTCACTGAACTGAAAGGGTTAAATGAAGATTAACTTTCAAATATTTTTAAGACAAATATAATTAAGAAAATGTACATACATCCTTATCCTAAACTACACGCATTTTATTTTTCAATATTACTTTGTTTCTAAGATAAAAAATCTCACTATGTACCCTTGGCTGGTCGTGAACTAGTGAACCTCCTGCCTCACCCTACTGACTACTGAAATTTCAGACAAGTGCCACTATTCATTCCATAAAACTGAAACCGTCATCTTTAACCATAATGCTTCCTACAATAGGGAAAAATAAAATACGTAAACACTATAACTGCTGTTCCATTTTTTTCCACTATTACAGACTGGAGTCAAGGTCTTCTATGCTAGCAGGAACTCAACCCCTGAGTTACATCTAGGTCTCGATATGCAGCCCTAGCTGGTCTGGAACTTACTATGGTCTACCAGGCTGACCTTGAACTCAACGATTCACTTTCTTCTCACTCCAAATTGCTGGGATTAAAAGTATATGCTTCTAAATCTGGCACCATTTTTAATTTTAAATAAAATGTATGGAACTGAAGTGTTATTCTAAACAAAAATTATTCCTTTAGTCATCAGTACCTACATGAATAGCTTTGCTTTTAAGAATTCAACAATGTTTATTAACAATTTTAGTAGTTAAAATTTCAACTTACAAAACTTTTAAAATTTGGTGGTCAGTGTTCACCAAAAACAACAATAAAAACTTTATTAGGCATTAATAAAGGGCCAGTTTCCAAAGACTCTCATCAGACCTGAATTAGATTCTCTGAATCCTCTTTTCAATTAGGTAGGGCCTTAGATTCTGTCCTTAGCCTCTCAGTTCAATTTTGGTAAGAATCCTACTGAGCCAGTTAACAATAATCATCTGCTTTCAGTTTCTGACTATGGCTGTATCTCATCACATCCCTTACTACTCTCTCTGCGTCAAGGATGTCATACCCTGGCTATCTCAGTAAAAATCCTGAAGAGTTAATTCAAAAAGAATCCTTTTGGTCCTAATGTTTTTTTTCTCAGTAATTTTCCATCCACTGGCTCTTTCCTTGCTTCTTCTTGGCCCTGAACGCCTGCTTTTTCTTGTATTCAAAACTGACCTTTCTCTGTCTTACTACAAGCCTCTACTGTAACCATTCCTCATGAAAAGCCTTTCTAGCCATCATGAATAAATCAAATGTTTTTCTTTAACATAATATCATTTACTAAAGTTGCTAATAAAAATTACAGAGGCAGAATGGCACTATATCCAACACTTAGACATATCAATTTTTCAACTCACCTTAACATTCTTCAGCCCCTTTTCAAAGAGACTAAGCATCTCAGAGAGTTTATTGTCAGAATGTACATTGTAGATGGTCTGACTGCGTTGCTGAAGTAAACCAATAATGTATTCATTCTCAATTTGCTCATGCATTTTAAACTCCTTGAAAGTAGCATATAAAGACTGCAGAAGAGCACGGAAGTCGTTGTTGTTGGAAAAGTTGGTTTTAGAAAGCTGAATAAAAATTTAAAAAGACAGTAAATAGATGCAAATAGAAGACAATGTAATAAGAAACATTCAAATGCATACCTAAATTTTTGTTCATAGCAAGATATTTCCTTTGTATCAATTACATTAAAGCACAAAGAAAAGATGTTCATAAAATAATAACTCATAGTTGTATAATTTAAAAGTGCCCTAGACTAAGAATATGCTGGCTGGCATTCTCAAATACCTGAAGATAAAGGAAAAATATCACATAGTCTTCTTAAGTGAAAAGATCAGACCAAGTTCCCGTCACGCCTAAAAGTTCCTTTCTCAGTATCATAATCATACCAAAGACACCTAGAAGGATAAGCCTGAATAATGCGGCTTCTTTTCCTTTGTCCAAAATGTTCTTCATGCTCTTATACTACTACCATTTAAAAATTGGAAAATACTTCACTATAGTTTAAACTTCAGTGCCAACTGATACAAAGTTAAATTATATTGAATATTGTATGCATGTATGCATCTACCTCTGTTTAAAACATTGTTTATGTATTGATATATATATATTCACCACACTGCAGTGTACATTACTACCTCTGATCAAGATACTTATACATTGTTTACATTTGAAGGTCATTGTCCTCATTTATTGCACAGTTGTTTATTGTCTTAGTCTTTAAGTTAGATAGGTATTGAGAATTATAGATCAATAGTCATCTATGTTTGTTATATTTATAATTAGACTAGTCAGGTTCTTTAGATACATAGAGATTATATTCAGTATAGGTAGATAATCTTCAATCTCTTCAAAGAGCTGTAGAAAATGGCCTTTAATCTAACCTAGAGTTCCGTGGTAGTGAGACACAATCGCTCCTGGCAACACCGATCTATTCCCGAGAGAATGTTGAGCACCAAAGACACTCCACCTGGAGCCTTTCTTCTTGGCAGAACTGGCCTTTGGGCAAAGAAATGCCCATACCTCAACCACTGACAGAGATACAGACTATCCGTAAATGGATAAAACAGGACTGTCATATCCTGCCAAGACAGGGTAAGACAGTTTTGAAAAGTTTCTTGCCTTTGAAAATGGTATGTCAGTTACATTAGGCCTTAGCCAAAGTTGGTTGCTTCAACATTGCAAATGAGACTTTGGGTGATTGCCCAGGTAGTCAGTTGTCTCTGTCATTTGTTGCACATTTTGGAAGTTTCTCGATTGCACTTCCTGTTCACTCAAGTAATATTGTTTCCCTTCTCAGATCTTTGATGGAGTTGAAGATTAGATAATTGTAGTTACCTTCCTCATGATTTAGCCAAGCTTAATTTCAATGCAATATTTAGACTCCTTAAAATAGAATGTTTAGTAAAACTTTTGTTATGCGTTCCTTGCTTAATATTGTTTATTGTTTGTAATTTTATATTTGGTATCTGTTCCTATTGTATATAGTTGTATTGGGTTTGGATCAGTCTTGTTTAGACAAAAGGGGGAGATGATGAGGAAACTCTGTTAGCCAATCACATCTAATTGGGACATGAGACCTGGACCCCAGGAAGAAAACTGGGAGATCCAGGTGCACGCTCTCTCTCTGTGCAGTGCCCGGCAGAACGATTGGAAATTGGACCTCCCACTCTTATAGTGTGAGTTTCCCCTCTTTAACCATTAAAATATAACTGTTATTCTTGAGCTAGCCTGGTTATTTATTGTACCGACCTAATTCGTTACAACAGGACTTTAATCCCAGAGTTTAGGAGGCAGAGGCAAGTGGATCTCTGTGGGTTCAAGACCAGCCTGGTTTACATGGTTGACTAAGTATGCTCTGTCCCCTCATTCCCCACAGCCTCATGTGTTTGAATGCATGCTTCATCAGGAATGTCACTATTAGGAGATGTGGACTTATTGGAGTAGGTGCGGTCTTGTTGGAGGAAGTGTGTCACTGTGGAGGGAGGCTTTGAGGTCTCATATATGCTCAAGCCATGCCCAATGTGCCAGTTCACCTTCTATTGCTCAGGATGTAGAACTCTCAGCTCCTTTTCCAGCATCCTGTCTGCCTACATGCTGCCGTGCTTCTCACCATGATGATAGTGAACTAAACCTCTGAACTGTAAGCCAGTCCCAATTAAATGTTTTCCTTTGTAAAAGTTGCTGTGGTCATAGTGTCTCTTCACAGCAATTGAAACCCTAACTTAAGACACTGCTCTCTCTACATAGTGAGTTTCAGGACAGTCAGGGCTATATAGAGAGACCCTGCCTAAATAAACAAATAAATTCAAGGTAATATTCAAATCTTCCATTATCTTTATTAAATCTAACTTCTATTGTTCAATTTAATTACAAAATTCATATTAAATGGGAAACAATTGGGTTAAACATAACAGGTAGATATATATTAAAGGGCAAATGTTACTAACACAAAACTTCTTAGGTTTCCTTTCCAAAGTGTGGTCCTGTCTTCCTGAAGAGGAGGGCACTCTAAGCTGTCTTACTAGCCTTCCACAGCAAGAACTGCGGTGAAGAACACTGAAAAAGAGGACATTCAAACTGAAGTAAAGCCAATCTGCAGAGAACAGAACTGACTAAGTATCTTCTTTAAAAGGCAGTAAGGATTAGCATAAGAAACACAGAGATCACAGATTACTAAGATTCCCTAAGAGACCCAGCTCTATCATTTATTTAGCTGGGTAACTTTTGTCTCTCAAAGTCTTTGATTCTTGCTAACTGGGAACAAAATGCCTATACTTCAAAGCATTATCATTGTTTAAAAATTAAATATTCATTTTTATAAATTTGGATACTTTTTGCTCTATTCTAATCATCAGCAAGCAGCTGCTATGATGGGCCAGATACTGTTCTTGGTACATGAAAATACACAGGGAACAAAATAAAGATCTCAACCTTTATGGAACTGACATTCTACTGAAGAGAAGAAAATGAATAGTTAACCATAATACATGAGTCAATCATCTAGCTCAGGGGTTGGCAACATTTCTGTAGAGTCAGACAGTAAATATTTAAATTTTCCCAGACTAGAGGCCTGCACCAGCTACTTAACTCAGCTGCTACAGCCCAAAGAGGAATCATAGCTAAAATGTAAGCAGAAGACTATTACTTTATTTCTATAAAATTTTGTACTTAATGACACTGAAGTTTAAAGTTTCATATAATTTTCACATGTCACAAAATAAGCTCTCAACTATTTAATAATGTAAAAATAATATTTGGCTCTTTTCCACATTAGAAAAAAATTATGGACAATACACTTGAAGAAATTCACACTTCAGATTTTAAGAATGTTCTGAAATACCACACCAGATTATAGCAAGCTTCATTAGTTTCTAATAGCTGCAAATAATACCATGGTAGTTTTGTTTAAATCAGGTTTGGGGCTGTTAGGGAGGGCTTTAGAAGTCTTAGTATAAAAAGCTGGGGATATGGTTCCGCAATAGAAAGCACATCCTGACAAGCACAAAGCTATAGGTTTGATATCAAACCCAAGATGAAAAAAAATTATTGTTAGTAGACATGTGACATAAGTAAAAAGCATTAACAAAAGCCGTAAACTTTTGATGCCCACAAAGTATCCAGTACACTGGAGCGTTAAGAAAGTTGGTACAGTTAACAACTAGTCTGTATTTGGAAGTTACTAATAGAGTAGATCTGAAGCCTGTTTTTCTTCTATCCATACAAAAACTTAAATACGTAATGGATGTGCTAATCAATTAGATGTAATTATTAAACATTGTAAATGTACACCATACCACTGTATATCTTGAATATATATCATTTTCTCAATTATACTTTAAAGCTAAAAAAAATCAGATTTGAAAAAGTGCTTTCTGGAAGAAAAAGTTTCAATTCTATTAAATCCTTAATATTTGTTACCATGATGAATACATGAACAAGATCAAAAACAAAGAAAAAAAAGAAAAGAAAGGGGAAACGGGGTTTTGTTTTGTTTTGTTTTGGTTTGGTTTTGTTTTTTTGAGGCAGGGTTTCTCTGTAGCCTTGGAACCTGCCTGAACTCACTTTATAGACCAGGCTGTCCTTGAACTCACAGAGATCCACCTGTCTCTGCCTCCTGAGTGCTGGGACTGAAGTCATGCACCACCACTGTGCAGCGGAAAGGGGATTCTTAAGCTATGACCCCATCAATTTTGATCCACATAAAAATAATTTTGTTACAACAGCCTACAGAATAGGAAAAGATCTTCACTAACCCCACCCAGACAGAGGTCTGATCTCCAAAATATACAAAGAACTCAAGAAATTGGACACCAAAAGATCACATAATCCAATAAAAAAAAAATGGAGTACAGACCTAAACAGAGAACTCACAACAGAGGCTGAAAGACACTTAAGGAAATGTTCAACATCCTTAGTCATCAGAGAAATGCAAATCAAAACAACTCTGAGATTCCATCTTACACCTGTAAGAATGGCCAAGATCAAAAACACTGATGACAACTTATGCTGGAGAGGTTGTGGGGAAAAGGGAACACTCCTGCATTGCTGGTGGGAATGTAAGCTGGTACAACCCCTTTGGATGTCAGTGTGGCGATTTCTCAGAAAATTAGGAAACAACCTTCCTCAAGACCCAGTAATACCACTTTTGGGTATATATCCAGAGGATGTTCAATCATGCCACAAGGACATGTGCTCAACTATGTTCATAGCAGCTTTGTTTGTCATAGCCAGAACCTGGATACAACCTAAATGCCCCTCGACCAAAACATGGATAAGGAAAATGTGGTACATTTACAAAAAATGGATAAGGAAAATGTGGTACATTTACACAATGGAGTACTACACAGCAGAAAAAATAACGACATTTCGAATTTTGCAGGAAAATGGATGGAGCTAGAAAACATTATTCTGAGTGAGGTAACACAGACACAGAAAGACAATTATCACATGTACTTTCACTTACAGGTGATTTTTAAACATAAAGCAATAAAAGCCAGCCTACAAACCACAATCCCAAAGAACTTAGACAACAATGAGGACACTAAGAGAGACTTACATAGATCTAATCTACATCAGAAGTAGAAAGTAGTAAAAAACAAGATCTCCTGAGTAAACTGGGAGAATGGGGACCTTGGGGGAAGGTTAGAGGGGGAAGAGGGAGGCAGGGAGGGGAGCAGAGAAAAATGTAGAGCTCAATAAATATCAATAAAAAAATTGTTTTGGAAACAGGAGTTAGTGAATTTAACAATTAAAAGCACATCCACGCTGTAGCTCAGTGGTAGAGCACTTAGTATGAACAAGGACCTGAAGTCAATCTTCAATACCATAAAATAAAAACAAAGAAACAAAAGAGCTAGGACACACACCACACCACTCTTTAAATATCTATATGAATGGTTTTCTCAAAATTTTATTTGCTTCTATAAAGATGTTTAAATACTTAAGATTTAGAAAAACCTGGACACTATTTTAAGGTACACTGAAGCTTATAATGTGCTAGAGTCTAAAACTGTTTTGAAGTATTTGTTAAGACAAATACTTAAGTATTTCTTAAGACAACATTACAATATAGGTTTTTCATACCCATTTTATTGATTAGAAAACAGGCTAGGAGAAATAATTTGTCCTCAACAGCATTAAATATTCAATAACAGAGATTCAGCTTCTGTAACTAATTTATGTCATAGATAAAATCTCTATCCCACACAGAAAGCTATCTTTTTGGATCCAAGACAGTAACTGGTCAGAATAATTGCTCCAAAACAAAGGTCTTACTGTAAGGAACACAGTCCCCCGGGAGATAAAGGGGACGATCTAGGGACAGTTTAGTTTGTCACCAATGGAGAAGTACTACTGACATAGGGTGGGTATGAGCCAAGAATGTGGCTAAAACATCTTACAATGCAGAGGACAGCCCCACAACAACTGCTGTAGCCCAAGTGTCAGCTGTGCCTTAGCTGAGAAATGCTGCTCTAGGCAAGTGTTTCCCAAATACTGTTTACCACAAACATCTTGTCAGTCCCTCACTATATAAAACGGGTGAAACAATGCAATGAGATCCAAATGGAGAACAAACACTTCAAAGATAAATCAGGAAAAACTATCTCCCTCTGTACTCTGGGAAGTATTTACAGTTCCACTTTCCTTTTCTAATGCTATGTCTAATGCACAAAGCGGATTTATGACCTACTAATGAGTCATAAGATATACTGTGAAAAACAAGGCTCTATGGCAGAATGAAAGCTCACTAGTAGTCTACACAATAATACACTCTGGTGCCTCCACATTCAACAAAGAACCTACATCTACCAAGACATACACATTCAACAAACAGTAAAACAGTAACACGGTATATTTCACATAAAATGTGTCTCAAGTCATTGTACAGGCTAAAATATAAACACTGGCCTAAAAACTGCCAAAAAAAAATTAATGCAATGTAAAACCAGTAAGTTCAAAATAGCTATAAAAAAAAAAAACAAAAACACAGTAAGAATCCAAACATTACCACCCCAACAGCACTTTTTTATTTTCTGTCCAATTAGCCAGGTCATACTTTCAGTTAATCAGAGATATACACTCAATGAAGAAGCTTTAGTATGCTCTGGCCAAATTTACAGATGGAAAAAATGACCTATAACTGTTTTGCATAAAAACAGTAATAAGCAACAAGTGAGGAAGGCTAAAAATTATGGCTTTCAGAGGGAGGAAAAAAAATCTAGGATTAAAATTCAGGTTCTACTAATTGCTGAGTGAGCTAGGTAAGTTATTTAACCACTAAGACTATTTCCTCACTTTTAAATGCGGGATAACACTTGTCTTACAAAGCTCTTGTAAGGATTATAAAAAATAATGTCAGTATGTAGTAAGAATCCATTAAACTCTCCCGTTTCTTCCTCTCAGCTCAAAATTCAGTATGTTCACTAAGCCAATCTTCCCAAATGCCAGCACATTTTTACAGGTATACAGAATAAAATGGAAAAAACCAAAAAGCTGACCATAAAGTTACATTCAAGCTTCTGAAAGTAATCTATTCAAATTTGCATCTATCTTCTTCTTAGTTTTGGTTATAAAATACCTTTTTTATAAGTGATAAAAGTAGATGACACTTCTTAATATCCTTACTTGAAAAATCTAGGCACCTCCCCATGTGCTTTCACCTGTTATTTTTAATGGGGGGAGGGTGTCTACATGTATGTCTAGGCACCACATGCCTATCTGATGCCGGTGGAGGACAGAAGGGAACATCAAACCCCCTAGAACTGAAGCTACAGACTCTTGTGACCTGCCATCCTCGTGCCAGGAAGAGACGCTGGGTCCTCTGGAAGATCTCTCAAGACCCTCCCTTCACCTTTTTTATAACTCGTCTATGTACATACACATCTGGGGATCTCTAGAGACACCGCATAACTGTTCTCAGAAATCACCTCAGAGACTACCCCTCATGTTTACTGTGGACATGACCATGTGCTTCCTCCCTTTTGCTCCCACTGCACTCTTCCTGGATTTCTGTGTTATCATAGATGGTAGTGCGCATGAAACTGGGACTCCTAAGGAACAGCACCCACATCTCACAATGACAACAGAAACTATTACAGGGCAGACAGAAAAGAATCAAAGGAGTTAAGTTTTGAGGATTGAAGAGAATGCTGGAAACTGGGAAGAAAATGGGAAAAGCATTATCTACCATTTGGTACAAATTTTAACTACACATTCCAATTTGGGAGGTCAGTGAATTATCAAACAAGATTCTCTGAAGACTGCTACAAAACACATCAAAAACCACTGTAGCTTCAGATGAAGATAATTAAGCTGGGAGTCTTAATACTGATTTGGGTGGTGACAGCTCTAGCACTAGCTTACATAAGCCCTTACCTAAGCCATCCAGGCCTACAACTCCCCAGTTATCATACCTAAACAAACAATAGTTTTCCTTGAACCAAAGGCCTGTTGTCTACATAGCAGAGATAAAGAAACCTTTCCATACCACTTTTTTCAAAAACAAAAAGACAAAAATACAAAGTCAAAACAAAAAGTGCACACACACACGCACACACACACATACACACTATAGTCTGTTTTGTGTGTGTGTGTGGTTGACAACTACTTCTGAGCAGAGTGTATACCAGTGACAAGCCATTAGAGAAAACTAGGTATTAGTGCAGATCGTTTCTGGGTTAGGTGTGGGACTTTGCATCCACTTCCCCTTCTCAAAGCTTGTTATTTTGTCTGGATACATTTTTTTAGTATGAGAAAATCCACAGGCAATACATTAAACTATTATACAGGAATATTTAACATAATCTGTAACAACGTAATAATTCGCTCTAAGTATATTACTCAAAGCATAGAAAAACTTATTTGATGCTTCTAAAGAAACTGTTCCATGAATACCCTGTGTTTTACAAGTTCAATACTGTGAATACAACTGGAATCTTTAAAGGTTTCCGGTTGATATTTAGAACACAGTGAAATCATATACGCTGTAGCTTTTTAGTTTTAACCAAAGTCTAGTTCTCATTTTGCAGTTTTACTAGAGGTTGTTTGGGTCAGATTTCCTTGATCTAAGAAACTAAAAGAAAGATGACAACAACAAACCTCAAAATGACAAACTAATCAAAACAACTCAATTCTTTAAGGCTGTTCTGCTGTCAAAACGAGTTATTTTCCCATCCAGAGAACCTTCACTGGCCATTGGTAACTAGAAGAAATGATGGAAATTCCTATGCAGCTTTTTCCTTCACTAAATTACCTTGGTCATAGTTAAGAAAACTGAAACTTTAGTAATCTTGATGAATAAAAGCAATAATCTCATTAACTACAAGCAATTAAATCAGAATTGGTGACTTTTTTTTACAATGCTGGGAATAAATCAGTGGCAATTTTGATTAAAGCTATACCAAATCAAAAATGCTTTATTAAACTAGTTATGCAAGAAGGAACATTTAACTGAGAAGAATTTCATTTGACTCATTTTTTTTTTAAAGTCAACCGCATTTCCAAAATTTGCTCAGATGTTCTCAAACACCAAAAAGAGACACAAAAATAATGACAGTGCCCAGTTTGCTGACAAGGGCCTGACAAGGGCCTGTAATTCTGGAGCCTGCAAGGCAGGAGCAGGAAGATCAGGAGTTCAAGGTCAGGCTCTTAAAGGTTCTCAAGGCTAGCCTAGAGGAGAAAACTGTCTCAAAAACAGTATCAAAACAAAAACATATATTTTTAAAAAAAGAGACTGGGTAGTACACTACAAATTTGATTATTTGGGAAGGTCATAATCCTTTGGCAATCTGAACCATCTTAAGTACTGGAAAGCTCCTAGGAAAATGGACAAACTGCCCACATTTTCCCTTAAGGCCAGAGGGTCTCTGGACTATCTCTCGCCAAAACAAACCAGAGAAAAAGCCTTAGATTCAATCAGTCCTCATTAATTCCTCTTCAAGCTTCTTAAGAGGCCTTAAATTAAAGGATAGTGTGAGGGGAAAACATATTCAAAAAGGTGGAGATTATAAAAACAAAACCACTAACTGAAATTGCAAGGCGATACTCTTCTGCTCAAGAGCTTAGCCAGCCGTTAAGCTTCTCCTGGGTGATAATCGCCCTCTGTGTACCCCAGTCTCACCTGAGAGTTCAAAATTATACTTGATATCTGAGTTCTATGCTCCGAGATTCCAATTGGAATGGCGGTCCAGGCTTCAGGATCTTAAAGAGCTTTTGGGGTTAATTAACAAGCAAGTGGAGAACCATGATCCTAAACAGTCCTGGCGTTTAAAAGTACCCCAGACCTCAGACTGGGTTTGGTGTTTTGTTTTGTTTTGCTTTTTCCCCAAAATGGAGGGAGAGAAACGGTTGTGGGGCAGTAATGCTAAGATCTGAAACTTCAAATTGCTGCTCTTCCGTGACCTAGCAGTGAAGACACCGGGTTCTTTCCTTGCACCTCTCTGGGTTCTAAGACAACTCCTGTTTGCTGTTAACCGTGGTGATTATTCAACGCAATTTCTGAAAATTCAATTTATTTCCATGTTTAATAATGACTTAACAGCTGTTTATTTGTTTCATTTTTACAAAACACATGACTGCCCATAGTTTACACATAGATGACCTTTCCAAACATAAACCGACAATTGGGAATTTTAAGAATCATTGGAAAGGGCCTCAACTCATCTCCACAAAAGTACTTCAACTTAGGCTTCATCAATTAAAAGTCCAAAACGCGTTCCACAGCAAACCAACTTTTCCTAGGGCCCCCCCCTCTTATCTGATCCCAGTAAAAAGTCCAACAGAGGATCAACTAGCTAGCTGTCTTAAAACAAAATCTACAAGAACTAAATATTCGAAGAAAATAAAATCTGGAAGGGGAAAAGCCAACCAGAAAGAGTGCAGGTCTTCCCTAGCCCTTGTACCGGGCTGGCTTAAGGAACCAATCCAGTGCGAAGCTGGCAGGGAAAACAAGCCCGCGCCTGGGGCTGGGAGCCGCTGCCCCTGGAGCCAGGAAGCAAGCAAGTCACAGGTCCAGGCGGAGGACAGTGTTTGCAAAGCGACCAAAAGAGCCCGAAGGAGCCGGGCGGGCAGGACTGCGGTGGCGAGCAACCGCAGAAGCGGCCTGCGGAGGCGACCCGGGAGCCTCGGGGGCCGGCCGACCCGGGTCCCCTAAACCCTGTAGGGACAGCGGCGGCAGCTCCGGGCGGCCGAGAGCGCCCATTACTCCCGCGAAGGCCAGACCCGCGAGCAGGACGCAGGGCAGGCGACGCGCGCCCCGAGGGCACGTCCC